ATCATTGTAATGTATTGTTTCTAGTATAGTTGTATATGTATTGTTTCTAGTATCATTGTATATGTATTGTTTCTAGTATCATTGTATATGTATTATGTTACCCCGATGGTAACTAAGTATTGATGTACTGATAAATATGAATATGGAAGTACCTTTTATGTCTATATATGTACATATGATATATAACTAATATGGAAATGACCCTCGGATGGTCACCCGAAATCCCACCAGACCACATCCAAATCGAGGAAAAGGAAATAGGGCGGATGGCTTTCCTAAGCCCTTTAAACATTGCTTATATATATATACATATATGGGCATGCAATTTATAAGAAGTAAAACAAAGTTTAATAAAAGCATTTGATAAGTAAAAAGAGTTTGTAAAACATTTGAAGTGAAACAATTTGATAAACAGTTGAACAGTGGTAAAATCATTGGTTTTCTACTTATTAGTCGCATGTGATTAATGCAATCACATGTGATTGATGTAATAACTATAAGTATTTGACTTGTATTCCCCACCCCCCATAAAGTATTTAAAACATTTAAAAGTATTTCAAAGGTTGATTAAAGGGGTATAAACTCACTTGTGGTGAGTAGATTGAATTGATGTATCGGGTACCGTGCTAAGTGGCAAACGGAGACTTGTTCACACGTTCGAGCCTAGTTATCATATAATAAGCATATATATAACTAATTAGCCAAATAATAACTTAACAAAGTAAGTTAAGACACTTAGGAACATGTATACACTTTATATAAGTGTTATAGGTCCTAATGGTTGCATCTAAGTTGATACGGGACAAGGCAAAAGGGGTTTAAAGCATAAATGGCCTTGTATATGAGTTCACCACCCAACAAACCCTACCCATTGGAGTTTACGGCCATGAACCCATGGGTTTACGACCGTGAACTCCTCACATGGAGGTTTTGGGTGTTTTGAAGTCTTATCTTGGTCCTAGAATAAGCCTAGCCATGTTGGAATAATACTTGAAGTAGTTTAAGGCCTTGGAATGCTCCTTTGGGGAGTTTACGGCCAAAGGACCATATCCCCTATAGTTTACGGCCGTAAACTCCTATCGGGTGTTGGTTTTAATTCATTTGAGGCCCTTGCATGTGTAGGATAGCTTCCATGCTTTTATCTAAGACTAAAGGGGACAAGAGGCACACTTTTGTGTCATTACTTGGAGTTTACGGCCCACGATATGTTCCTTGGCCGTAAACTTCTTTTAAGGAGTGATTATGATGTCTTTTGTTCTCCATTCAAGTCCCATGTGTTCAAGGTAAATTGTCTTAAGGCCTTAGGGGTGTTTGTGGCATCTTTAACACATGAAAAAGGGATTTACGGCCCAAGATCTTTCCTTGGCCATAAACTCCTAAAACACTAAGATCTTGAAGTGTTTTGGTGACCAAAATAAGCACAAGCATTAGTGGTTAAAGTCCATAGGCTTAAGGAGGTGAGTTAGGGCATTTTTGACCCTTAAAAAGGGGTTTACGGCCCAAGAAAGTTCCTTGGCCGTAAACTCCTATAACTTGTGTTTCTTGGTTGCTTTTTAGTCCCAAATGTTTATACACTAACACCTAAACAAGTTGTCTAACAAGGAATCGGGACTAGGAAACCTTTAGGCTCCGTTTTGGAGTTTACTCCCCAAGAACGTTCTTGGGCGGTAAACTCTCGGATCTTGCAGTTTAGACATATAATTGATGTTATAAAGCATATAACAAGTATTGAAACACGTTTAGGAAAGTAGACTCACAATCTGGGATGAAAACCCGAAGATCCGTCAGAGAGAATTGGCTTTTCTCTAGTTGGAATTGTGAGTAATGAATTAATTAAATTCATAAATCTATTATAGTACTGAAATATTTTGACAGAAAATATTTTTATTCCAGAAGTCGGACTATAACATTATGAAACTTACAATGTTCAAGTTTCACAATTACAGGCGCATCCATCCTCCCGATATGTCCAGGAATGTAAACCCTAATGTACATAAACTTGTTCGGACAAGTCTGAAAATCACTGAAACTGGACTAGCTTCTATTAAATAGATAATGTTCGTACAAATGGAAATTTCGGGTTGTCACATCATCCCCCCGTTAGAAGGAATTTCGTCCCGAAATTAGAATTTAAGCAAATAAGAAGTTACAAATAACTAAGCGAAAAGATGAGGATATTTCAGTTTCATCTGATCCTCGTGTTCCCAAGTGAATTCCGGTCCTCTCTTGGCATTCCAGCGAACCTTCACGATAGGGATACAGCTTTGCTTCGTCTGCTTGACCTCACGGTCCATGATCTCTACATGTTCTTCCACGATGTTGAGGCTCTCGTTGATGTCGATCTCGTCGAGTGGGATTACGAGAGTCTCGTCGGACAGACACTTTTTCAAGTTAGATACGTGGAATGTAAAATGTACGTTATGGAGTGTGTCGGGTAGATCAAGTTTGTAAGCTACGGGGCCGACTCTTGCGAGAATCTCGAAAGGCCCTATGTACCTAGGATTTAGCTTCCCCCGCTTACCGAAGCGTATCAAGCCCTTCCAGGGTGAGACTTTGAGAAGGACTCGGTCTCCCACTTGAAATTCCAAAGGTTTTCTGCGTTTGTCAGAGTAACTCTTTTGTCGGTCTCTAGAGGCTTTCAATCGTTCACGAATCTAAATGATCTTCTCTGTCGTTTCTCGAATGATTTCCGGACCAGTGAGAATACTGTCGGAAGCTTGCCCCCTAGCTAATTGGGTATCACCCTCCTCAGCCCAGCACAGAGGGAATCTGCACTTTCGGCCGTAGAGAGCTTCAAATGGTGCTGCTTTTATGCTCGTGTGATAATTGTTTTTGTAGGAAAATTCGACGAGGGGTAAATGGGTATCCCACGCTTTCCGAAAGTCAATTACACAAGCACGCAACATATCTTCTAAAGTCTGGATCGTCCTCTCACCCTGTCCGTCAGTCTGTGGATGGTAGGTTGTGCTCATGTCCAGCCTTGTTCCTAGGGAATGTTGCAGTGATTGCTAGAATCTTGAGGTGAACCTACTATCTCGATCGGTGATAATGGATATAGGTACACCATGTAGCCGTACGATTTCCCTAATGTACATTCTCATAAGTTTCTCCATCTTGTCGGTTTCTTTGATAGGCAGGAAGTGTGCAGACTTGGTCAATCTATCAACGATGACCCATATGGTATCAAGTCCACCCGTTGTCTTGGGTAACTTGGTTATGAAATCCATAGTGATCCGCTCCCACTTCCATTCTGGAATCTCTGGTTGTTGCAGTAAACCAGAGGGCTTCTGGTACTCGACCTTAACCTTTGCGCAAGTAAGGCATTTACTTACGAAGGTAGCAATCTCTGCTTTCATATTAGGCCACCAGTATAGCTTTTTAAGATCTAGATACATCTTATCTGAACCTGGATGGATGGAAAACCGTGTGTTGTGTGCCTCGGTCATGACCAAGTCCCTGAAACCACCGTGTTTCAATGTCCAGATCTGATCCATGAAGTATAAGGCTCCGTCACCCTTGGCTTCTAAATTCTTGTCCATTCCTCTAAGGGATTCACTCGTCACATTTTTAGGTTTCGTGGCTTCAAGTTGGGCCGCCTGAATTTGGTTAGACAAGTGTGAATGGATGGTTATCGATAATGACTTGACCTTGCGACCAGAATATTCTTTCCGACTCAGGGCGTCCGCTACTACGTTGACTTTACCCGGATGATAACGAATATCGCATTCCTAATCACTGAGTAGCTCGACCCACCATTGTTGTCTCATGTTGAGCTCCTTCTGATCGAATATGTGTTGCAAACTCTTGTGGTCGGTAAAGATAGTGCTCTTCGTTCCATACAAGTAATGTCTCCAGATCTTCAGAGCAAACACCACTGCTCCTAGTTCAAGATCGTGGGTCGTATAGTTAACTTCGTGTGTCTTCAACTCTCTGGAGGCGTAGGCGATGACCTTACCTCGCTGCATCAGAAGACACCCGAGCCCTTGGTTCGATGCATCGCAATAGACTACGAAGTCTTCTATCCCTTCAGGGAGAGATAGTATTCATGCGGTGCACAAGGCTCGTTTGAGCGTTTTGGAACGCTCTCTCTTGTTTCTCTTCCCAGTCAAAGGGCACGCCTTTCTGGGTCAGGGTTGTAAGAGGTTTCGCTATCCGGGAGAAGTTCTGAATGAATCTGCGGTAGTAGCCAGCAAGACCTAGAAATTGACGAATTTCTGTCGGTGTCTTGGGTGCTAACCAGTTCTCGATGGCTTTAATTTTGGATGGGTCCACGTGGATTCCCTCTTCGCTTACCACGTGTCCTAAGAATTCGACTCTTCGGATCCAAAATTCACATTTCGAGAACTTCGCATAAAGTTTCTTCGTTCGTAAAGTTCCTAAAACTAGTCGTAGGTGATCGCCATGCTCTTCCTTACTTTGGGAGTAGATCAGGATGTCGTCAATGAAAACGATGACGAACTGATCCAAGTAAGGTCGGCATACTCTATTCATCAGGTCCATGAAAACCACTAGCGCATTGGTCAATCCAAATGGTATCACCATGAACTCGTAGTGTCCGTAACAAATTCGGAAGGCTGTCTTTGGAACATCCTCCTCTGGCACTCGTAACTGGTGATATCCGGACCTTAGATCAATTTTGGAAAAATAGTTCGCCCCTTGCAGTTGGTCAAATAGATCGTCTATGCGAGGTAGAGGGTAACGATTTTTGACCGGCAGTTTGTTGAGTTCTCTGTAGTCAATACACATACGGACTTATCCGTCTTTCTTCTTAACGAACAAGATCGGTGCTCCCCAAGGGGAGAAGCTTGGTCTTATGAAGCCCTTGTTGAGCAGTTCGTTAAGTTGACCAGATAATTCCTGCATCTATGTTGGTGCCAAGCGGTAGGGCGACTTGGCTACT